GGGGGGGCAGGTGGGTGCCTGCAGCCACCCAGGGGGTCCTGGGGATGGGTCACCTGGATTGTGGCCATTTGTGAGTCGATAGAGACACCACGTTCAGAGGAGCTGTTTTGAGGAGTACAAGCAGATGGTGCCTGTGGAGCTCTGAGCACTTCATGAGCTCTACTGGCTGTAGAGCAGCTGCAGGTTTGGCTGGGAAACTGAGGCACAGGAGGCAGGGGAGATACCTGGGGTATGCCCCAAGTTGTTTGCTGCACAGTCCTGTCTCTTGGCTTGCAGCCTTCTCCTGGGTGGTGGCACCGTGTGGGACATGATCCCAGTTTGGGTGTTTGGAGGAGGAAGATGCTGAGCCTGGTGCTGCCAGGGATGTGGCAATGGGTGCTGCTTGTCTGTGCTGGAGAGGTGTGGGTTGGGACTATGCTCAGGAGAAGGGCTGAGGAGAACATGGCTGGGCATGTTTTGACTTCTCTGGTCTAACGTGGACCTGGACAGCCCCAATGAGGAGTGGGACCATGTCTGCCTGTGGAGGCAGGGTGTCCTGGTGTGCTGCCACTCAGTGGGTTGCTAATCAGGCAGGGCAGCCATGGCAGAGGCTGCTGCTGCTGCTGCTTCTGCAGCTGCAAAGTGACTCTCAGGGGAGGGCTCAGTGCTGTAGGGGATGCAGCCAGGCACAGCTCAAGGGCTGGGCAAAGGTGGTCACATCCTTGGGGACAGTGTGGGACACGGTCACCCCTGGTAGCAACAAGCAAGGATGTCTCAGCCTCCCTGTGCTGCTGCAGCCTCGCTGCTCTGGGCACTCAGAGAGTGGCTGGGAAATGTCTGTTGGCTGCTTCCTAGCCTGGGCATCCTTTTGGGATGCCAAGGAGAAGCACTGGGGTGGGAGCAGGGGTTGGTCATGGACTTCTCCCTGCCCTCCCCACAGCTCAGACCGAGCTGACTGTCACTGAGCCGTGCTGAGTCAGCGCTGGGCAATTACTCACTGGCTAAGCCTCCCTAGCTCCTCTCCCTGCTGTGCTGGGCCCCTGCCAGGGAATCCATTGTTGTGAAGGGCTGTCCATGCTGGGAGGTGCCCGTGTCCCCCTGACACTCCCAGTGATGGGGCACAGCCATCTGGGCTCTGCTTCTCATCCCCCTGGCATCCTGGTGCCTGCCCCGTCAGCAGGATGGAAACCTCTCCCAAGAGATTCCCCGTTCACCACCTGCTTTGCCCCAGCAGTCCTGGCACCTGCTGGCATGGGATCACCAGGATTTTGGGGACAAATTGTATTGTTTGATGGGCAACCTGTGGATTTTCATCCCAGGCTGGTTCTGGGGGGAGGATCAAATCATGAGCTTCTCTGTGCCTTTGAGCTCTTGCTTTTGCCGCGCGGAGCGGGCGAAGCCGCCGTTCCTCGGCACCAGGGTTGCACCTCCCTTGTGAGAAGCTCCTGCCTGTTTGATCTGCTGAATTCTTGGCAAATTTCTGCAGCAAATAATCCCCGGGCTGGCAAATGACTTGCAAACAGCTTGCGGGGAGAGGGTTCGCACTTGGCGGCTCCTGCGGCGGCGCCAGGCGGGTGGTGGAGCCTGTGCAGGGGATGGGTGCAGGTTTGGGATCATCTCTGCAGCTTAGGGCTTGACACTGGGGTTAATCTGTGAGTGCCTGGGCAGTGGAGCTGTTAATGGTCACTGGGATCTTGTAGGGACTTGGCAGTGCTGGTGGTGCAGGGGATGCTGTGAGCAGCAGGGGTGTAGGGTGGCACTGGCCTCTGGATGTGCTGGCTGGCTTGGGATGCTGATGCATCCCATGGACCAGAGGGGATATTCACATGAGCAGGACTCACCTCAGGATCCATCCCCAGGGGTACCTGGTGTCGTGTCTGCTGGCCCTTTTCCCTCCAAGGGCAGCACAGGTTATTCCCACTCCTTTCTGAGCTTATTTTTGGCACGTGTCTGATGGGAGAGGTGCTTAGTGCAGGTGGCTTCACCATGAGCCACCTTAGGCACACTCTCCCTGATGTTAATTAGCTTAATGAGAGTCTGCTACCATCAACAGCCTCCTGGGACCCTGTGCAGAAATGGATGGCACTGACTCGGGTTCAACTGGTGTTTGCTTCTGATGTCAACACATCCAGATTTTTTTTCCATCTCGGTGGAAATCGACGCCCACCTGAAGTTCCCTGATGCCAAAGCTTCCACCAGGGAACTAATTGTCACATTTGTAAACCTGCTCTGTTTATAACCTGTGCTTTCCAAATCATCGTCACTGCCTGAAAAAAAAAAAGCACCCCAGCCTGCTCTCCCCCAGCTAAAAATACTTTTTCTTCCTCTGAAAATGTGCATGAAATACCTTCACTTGTTCTCAGGCACAGCCAGGGAAGGGCTGTGTTTCCCCCAGGGCTTGGGGATGCTCCCCTGGCTTGTGCATGAACCAGACCTGGACTTGTGACCTGCTTGATGCAGCATGTCCTGGACCAAGATAAGGGAAAACTGCTCAAAAATGGTCAGGAAGGCCAACAGGACCTCTTCCTCAGTGGTCCCAAGAGGGAGTGGGTGAAGGACATTCAGCCACCAGCAACTGGAGCATCAGCTCCATGGGTGCAGTTGGTGTAATAAGTAGTGACCCAGCATCCTCATCCAGTCCTAGACCAGGTTTGCAGGAGTTAATGATAAAAAAGGGTTAAATTCCCTCTGCAAATATGCAGGTGGGTGTGTGCTTCACACACTCCAGTGCCTGAGCATCACAGCATCTCCTTGGCTTTTTTTTTTTAATAGAAGTTGCAGCAGTAATACAATAACACCTTACGTGTGAGGTGAAGGGGTGGGGGGAAAAGCTTCTAACAGCAGGGGGGGAAAAAAAAGATCCAAATGGAAATCAAAAGGCCCTTGTGAAGTTGTGCTGCTCAGGAGCCTGGGAAGCAGTGGCTGTAAAAGGAGGATAAATGCACTGGGGCCACTAAAAGGAAGAGCTGGCGTCAGGGTTTTTTGGAGGGTTTAATACCAGCTGCTACACCTGGCTGCCTTTTGGGAAGCCCTTGGGCACTGTGGTTTGCATGAAGGGATTGTTGTGGAGTGGAGAGTGGCCAAGGGAAGGCAGGAGTGAGTGATGGCTGCTGGTGCCTGCCCTGCCCTCAGCAGATTTGGAGCTGAGCAGAGGGAAGCTCAGCTCTCCATGCCCTGAGAAGCAGCCCAAAATCCTCTCCCTGCAAAGTGGCCCTGGTGTGCCTGGCCTCTCCCTCTCACCTCCCAGTGAGGTGCACT